CCAGATCCTGAGTTGCCTTTTATCCTGGAGGTGGATGCATCAGATATAGGGGTTGGAGCAGTTCTATCCCAAAGAAGTAAAGCAGACAACAAACTTCATCCATGTGCCTTCTATTCCCATAGACTTACGCCGACTCAGGCCAACTATGACATTGGAAACCGCGAACTACTGGCTATTAAGTTAGCTTTGGAGGAGTGGAGGCACTGGCTTGAGGGAGCATCTCACCCCTTCCTCATTTGGACTGATCACCAGAACCTCACTTACATACAAAATGCCAAGAGATTGAACGCTAGACAAGCTAGATGGTCACTGTTCTTTAACCGTTTCAAATTCACACTTTCCTTCCGCCCAGGGTCCAAAAACATCAAGCCTGACGCTCTCTCAAGACAGTTTGAACCTTCTGAGAAGCCATGCTGCCCCGAACCTATCGTGCCTGGCTCCAGAATTGTGGCTCCAATACTGTGGGATTTGGAGTCCTCAATCAGAAAGGCACATCAACATCACCCTGATCCAGGTAATGGACCATCTGGGAGCTTATTTGTCCCTAACTCTATGCGTTCTGATGTCTTACAGTGGGCACATTCTTCCTCCCCCTCAGGACACCCTGGTATTAACAGAACCTACAAATTGATTTTGAGGAAGTTCTGGTGGCCAATGATGCGAAAAGATGTGCAAGAGTTTGTTTCTAGTTGCCCCACCTGTGCTCAGAGCAAAGAACCCCGAACTCGACCCCAGGGACTTCTTCACCCACTTTCCATCCCGAGTCGCCCCTGGTCCCATATTTCTCTTGATTTTATTACAGGATTGCCTCCGTCTCAGGGAAATACGGTAATCCTAGTGGTGGTGGACAGGTTCTCTAAGATGTGTCACTTGTTACCATTACCAAAGCTTCCCACTGCGAACCAGACAGCTGAACTACTAATGAGACATGTCTTTAAGATGCATGGCTTCCCACAGGATATAGTCTCTGATCGGGGCCCCCAGTTCTCATCCAGGTTTTGGAAAGCTTTTGGGCGGCTCATTGGCTCATCGATCAGTCTGTCCTCTGGCTACCACCCCCAGTCTAATGGGCAGACAGAAAGGGTAAACCAGGAAGTAGAAAAGACGCTAAGGTGCCTGGCAGGAGACAATCATTCCAGCTGGACCTCCCATTTAGTTTGGGTAGAATTTGCTCACAATACTTTACATCACTCTTCCATTAACATGTCTCCTTTTGAATGTGTCTATGGCTTTCCCCCTCTTTTGTTTCCTGGTCAGGAACCACAGGTGGAAGTGCCAGCTGCCACCCGGTTTATTCACCGTTGCCGGCGTTCCTGGCAGAAAGCTCGTACTTCCCTGAGAAAGGCTGTCCACAATCAGCAGAAACAGGCCAACAGACATCGCAGGGCAGGACCCTCCCTCCGAACTGGCCAAAGAGTATGGCTCTCGACCCGAAACCTTCCTTTGCGGGTAGAGTCACGTAAGTTGGCTCCACGCTATGTTGGTCCTTTTAAGATTATTAAGAAGATCAATCCTGTAGCCTACCGGCTTCTACTACCCAGTGCCCTGAAGATACATCCGACATTTCATGTTTCTCAGCTAAAACCGGTTCTTTGCTCCACCCTGCATCCCAACAGAGCACCCATACCTGCTTTACGCATTGTTGATGGCCACCCTGCTTTCACGGTCCGCAGACTACTTAAGTGTCGCCAGGTACGAGGGAGGACACAGTACTTGGTCGACTGGGATGGGTTTGGTCCGGAGGAGCGCACCTGGGTCTCAGCTAAAGACATTTTGGACCCTTCCCTCATCAAGGAATTTCACCAGGCACAAAGAGAGCACAAAGGGAACGTCAGGAGACGTTCTTAGAGGAGGGGCTACTGTAATATCTCAGCACTTTATCGCATCCTCCAACCCACCAGGGGGCGCACATGTTGCCCTATACTCGTCAACATTAGATGGCAGTAATGACTCTTGTTCCTCTAAACTCTCCTGTAATCAGCGTAACCACCACCACCTGTTCTTTGCTCTATATAAGACTGCTTTGTATGCTGCTCTATGTTCAGTCCTGAACTAAACCTCTTGCTGCCTCGTCCAGTTTCCAGTTAAGTTGTTCTCAAGACTTTTTGCTTGTTCTCAAGACTTGTTTGCTATTTTGCTGTTTGATTGTTTTGAGACCCTCGTGTCTATTTTATTTTGTATGTATTTTCAGGAAGCTCGGCTTTCCTATTTTTGTTGTAATTTTCAACCCTGCTGTAGAGAGATATTATCTCTCCTTTTTGTCAAATTTACCTCAGTAAAGACTATATTATTTTTTTTTGAAATTCATCAGTTGTGGACTCACTTTGTTCCTCCTCTGCTCTTGGGCCACCAGTTGCTGACTTAGCTCATCTAGTAAGAGCTACTGCTAACCACACCGCAGACCCGGGTTCGATCCCCACTCAGATCATCACAGCAATTTTCTCCCTAAGGTTTTCATGGTGTAACATTTTTCTTTTAGAAGTTACTGAACTGGAAATTTTTTCAAATGACATATATGTCTTTAGACACCATTCTATTTAATGTTGCCTCCATTTTGTCCCCAAGCAAGTCTGAAAATAGAGGGTATGCATGCGATGTCCCTATGAGTTGGAGTGAATGTGGCTCTGGAAATTCATTCATTCATTCATTCATTCATTTTCGGCTTAGTCCCTTTATTAATCTGAGGTCGCCATAGCGGAATCTTTTCCAGCATATGTTTTATGTAGCGGATGCCCTTCCAGTGAGAGGGATCTGGCTGCAGACCTGGTGCAGTCTGAGCTGCATTCAATGCTTTCTAATGTGCTCACCTAACCCCACCCCTAACCCAACCCCTCACAGTGAAGTCACTCACTCCATTTGAGAGCATTGTGTCTGACATAGTGATGCAATCTCAGCTTGCATCATAAAGGCTGCATCCAGATACTATTGCTTCCAGCTGCAACCCATCAATCGGAAACATCCAAACACACTCATTCATACACATTCAATACGGACATTTTAGCACACCCAATTCACCTATACTAAATGTCTTTGGACTTGTGGGGGAAACCAGGTGGCTCCGGCTGTTTAGTGGCAAAAAAACTTATCAGCAAGGTCCATGTACGGCATAAAACCTGCTAAAAATGTCTAACATGTGGAAAAATTTGATAGACTATACCAAACGATTCAACAATTTTTTATATATATATATATATATATATATATGTGTGTGTGTGTGTGTGTGTGTGTGTGTGTGTGTGTGCGTGTGTGTGTGTGTGTGTCCAATCAAATGAATGAAATACTAATGCCAAATAATAGAATAATAATGTAAACAATATTAATAGCTCAATTTACACAATTCAGAGAGGGGGACTGTGAGATAAAGCTTACTGGTTAATAAATTAGAAAATGCATACCTTGCAAATCAAAACCAAGTAGCAATTATTTTATACTTCTACAAAATCTGGATAGAGTAACCTTACATATTCAGTCCATTTGATCCAGATATTTCTAAATACATGCATTTAAAGGTGAAAATGTAATTTGTTCCATAACATAAATGTCGTATACAATGTCTTATCACTATAGGATTGTAGGGGTTTCAGGAAGTAACCAATGCCTTGTGATTGTCTTGTGACTTTTTTAGCTCCAAATATCAATATGTCAAATAGATATTTCTCAGGCCTACTTGTCTAGATGTCAGAAACTAAAACTTTGGATAAAAATATCACAAGTTCATGGTATTACGGTATTGTGATTACTGCTCTAAAATAAGTTATTTTTTCATTTCTAGGTAAAAATAAAATACATCAATAAAATAAAATTCCCCTATTAAAAATATATATATTTTATTTTAGGAACCATTTAAATTATTTTGGAACAGTAAACATTGAAGGAGCAGGTCACAAGTCATTGACTGCTGTTTTCATTAGTTTAAATAAGACAGATTTCTTTACAACACAAAAAACATAAAAAAAAAACATACTGTATACCGTACCAACAGTATGACAGGAAATAGTAGCAATTTTAAAACCTTGACTTGAACTTCGGTAAACCTTGAAACCGGTAATCATCCCATACCTACTCATACACACCGGGATGCTTTTCGCTTGCGTTTATCAGCAGCGTTTTGAGATTCTTTCAATAGATTATAAGTAGACTGTTAGATTAGGGTTAGGGTTAGTGTAAGTTGACTTGTACTTGAAAAGTTTCTTATAGTCAGTCTAATGTCTGTTAAAGAAGTATCAACAGATATTAAGCAGGTACTTTACTAATACTTAAATGGACCATCACATAAAGTGTTAGCAAAAATCTGATAAGGCATTTCTACCCAAACTCTCACCACATATGACTGCATTTTGATGTGAATTCACATACGTCCAACCAATCTTCATTGAGAATAATAAAATTACCTTTTCTTATATTTATTTATCTTCAGGATACCTGTAACATGTCTCTGCCAACAAAATAGATGAAAGTGTCACAGAGAGAAACAAATAAATATGCCATCTGTCACTTAAAATTACAAGTTGAGTGTCCTTCAAGGACGGTATATCCACAATTTGCTATGTCACTCATTGACAACCTGTCTGTTTTGTTTGGGGGCCATTATATCTGACCGCCAACACTACAGCACTTACATCCAACCACTACTGCATTTTACATGGAAAATTAATTATATGTTGCAAGAAATCTGGTTGAGTTGAGCTGCAGGAAGGCAGACCTCTAATATATAACCTCCATACACAATACAAGCATATTTGCTAGAATTTTGATTCAACCTCTAGCCGACCTACAGCCTACCATCTTGGCCGACATTTCAGAAGAAGAGCCAATAGCCATTGATTTCTCTGTACGCAGCAGAACGTGCTGCACTTTCAGTAAAGATTGTACACACACACACACACACACACCCTTTCCTAACTCAACAGTTTGCATGAGATCCCATCACTCTTTTATATACTTTGCGAAGGTTCCTTTGCATCATGATGTGTGTTTTCCTTTTGTGTGTGTATGCGCAGGCAGTCAATGGCACCGCAGCACTCTACCACCATCGAGAGAAGAATAACGAGACGGTCATTTGGGGTCCTTTGAGATCAGAGAAAGAGGCTCTCTTGCTCGGTAATTATTCCAACTCTGCTTCATGCCGTTTTGATCTATAAAACATCTTGAGCCCTGTGCTGAGGGGCTTGAATACCAGATGGGCTTGGAGGATTGAGTCCTTGCTTAAAAGTGCAGGAGGACGAGCAGGTGCTGGCGCAGCCAAGCGGTTGAACGCAAAGATGTTCGGCCCTTGTTTGAACCTCTACAATAACAATGACTAGAAAAGGCTAGGGGGAGAGGCCGGATGCGGCCGCAACACCTCGTCCTGTCTGTCATGTTTTTGGATGATGATCTCTTGGAGGAGCTCAGGGGAGATGTCCTTCGTTGGCTGTAGCCCAGAGAAGACCACACTGCATTGGTTTTATCTAATGCCTGCATAAAACCACTGCTCTCTAAGAGGATGCATGCAGAATGTACTGCATTGATGGAGCAGGGAATGTCAGCCAGGCTTGAAGGCCCTCAGCCAGAACGGCAGAGAAGCCAAAGTCATTTGAGCAGAACAAAGTGAAGGGACGGACTGAAGAACACAAATTGTTTAAGTCTCCAGGCACTGGACTGTTAGCTCTGAAAAGAAACTTCTATTGCAGTTATTGGATTAGCTTGCAGTGTGTAAACACTGTTTAGTTTAAGCTTTCTCTGTTAGGTTTTTAGAATTAGTTTGATTTCTCGTAGTAGTACGTCAAAACAGATACAGCAGGTGAAATAAGCATTAAACACATGAACATTTTTCTAAGAAAACATATTTTTACAGGAGCTGTTGAATTGAAATTTACGTACATACAAGGAAAACAAATCTAATTAGTTTAGAAATTATGTTATGTGTAATAAAAATTAAATGACACAGGGATAAAAGTATTGAACACATGAAGAAAGTGAGGTGTACAAAGACATGGAAAGCTCAGACAGCAGGTGCAATCTCTCAGCCCTTTATCAGTGTAAATGAATATTAGCTGCTTTAATCCCAACATCTACATCAGTGGTCCTCAACCACTGGGCTGTGGAGTCAGAGTCCGTGGATCAGTTGGTACGGGTCCGCACAAGGAATCATTAATTATTGTTGTTTAGTTATTGTCTGAGGCCGAACGATCTTTTATTTTGAAAAGTCTTTTATTTTGAAAAAATTATCGTATTCTCTGTTACATCACGGTCACATGAGTGCCCAAATTTACCTCACAATCAGCAAAATGAGTATGAAACAAATGTCTTTGGAAAGTTTTGCTAAGGTGGAACAACCCAGTGAATGATCCACGAACTGCCAAAGAATGGATCCGCAACCCATGTCAACAAATCTGGTGAACGCACCATGGCTGTGGAAAAAGATCAACTGATGGAGATCACAAATGACTACAACCTTTTAGAGGTTGTTTGCATATTGGGTCTTTTCTAGAGTTTGTACAAGTTTGTTGTTTCCAATGGAGGAACTTGCCCATGCAACCTAAACATGAATAAACTGCCATGTTTAACTATTGTCATCACCTTTTGGACTTATATGAACTCGAAATGACAAAATAACTTTCTAACAGAGGCTACATGTGCTGGTGAGGATTAAGACACAGATGAGAGGTTTGCACTGATTGTAGGATACATGTTGAGTGTTGTTTTTGAACTGAAATAAGGACTAGATGTATGCTGTATGTAGTTTTTCTGTAATTGGTAGCATATTGGAGACTGTAAGGGGCTGTGTGTGTTCATTTATGTTCATTAAAAATTGCCTTTTTCACATTGATCTGCAGTTGTAATCAAATCCTGTAAATAGAAAGGTTTGTAATGAACATTTATACACAAGTATTTTTATGTATAAAGCATCGGTTTTGTGAGAAGAGATTCTCATATGATATGTGAATGACTCATCATTGGTACCTTTTTGGCAGTGGAAACGCAAGCCTGATAAAGGTGATCTGTACCGACCGGTACCGTACTATACTGTACCAGTCCTTGTAAATGGGCCATTAGTAGTTCAGTACTGTCTCCCTCCGTCAATCCATTATAACAAATACCAATATTTTTTTATTATTTATTTTTTGTATGTCTGGATTGTTTGGGTTTTTACCAAAATCTGGGTCAATTTCATGTTAACAGCTCCTTTTGAAATACATGATGAGGCGTTCAATACTTATTTAACCGGCTGTATGTTTATCTCTGTAAGCATGGAGCGCTGTAGCAGAACAGAGATGTGTGGTGCCAACTCGGCTGTTCTGCATTGAATTTTCAAATCGGAACGGACATCTTGAGACTCCCCTTCCCTCCCTTAGTGTGGCTCTGTGAAAGTAGGTCTTGCGGAGGGAATTGAATGAGGTTCCTTGGTAATTGGCGGCGTTACGGCATATAAATCAAGGAAATAAATATTGGCTCAGGCCCTTCAGGCAAGGCACTATATCCTGTGCTTCTGCATCAGTGCTTTACCTTCGCAGGACCTCTCCAAAGTAATCAGCTTAAGTGGGGGAGGGATGAGGCTTGAGCTCCGGGCGCTGTATTTATGACTGCAGCTGCATCTCTTGTCTTGTCTGCTATAGTTACAGGCAACATATGTTCATTCACCAGACTGTTCTGTTGTCTGTCTGTCTACACAGGAATCATATCAACCTTCCTGCACGTCCACCCATTTGGAGCCAACATCGAATATCTGTGGTCTTACATCCAGAGACTTGATACAAAGGTGATTGTTTTTTTGTCATTGATTAGATTCACCCAGAATGATAAAAGTTCACACAAAAATTAAAATAATGTCATTGTTTAAACGTGTTGGGCACGTTTCTTTAAAAGAGTAATTAGTTATAGTTACTTCTCACAAATAGTAACTGAGTTACAGAAATGCAAAAGTACCTAATAACCAGGGAAAGTAACTATTGTGTTACTTTAAAAAGATCTAATTTGTTTATGACTATAAAACACATTGTACACTAATTTACACAATTTTAATGTTGTTGTGGGACAATATGAGAGAAGACAGCATATCCACAATTATATATCTAGATATTATTTATTTAAATTCTGTCGAAGCAATAAGTATTTGCGATGGAGAAAATGAAGTTTGACGTCTTGACTTTGTCTCCTCTTTTGGTAGCAGAGCTCACGTTATTACCTGCATAGCCACTAATTTTGTGGCGGCATGTGACGATGTGAGGTGCTACATTACATTAGAATTACTAGTAAAACTATTTTGATGGTCCATTTGAGTATTAGTAGACTGTCTGCTTAATATCTGTTGATACTGAACCTTCAACAGACATTTAATTGACTATAACAGGGGTGTCCAAACTCGGTCCTGGAGGGCCAGTGTCCTGCTGAGTTTAGCTCCAACTTCAACACACCTGCAAGAAAGTTTTTAATATATTTAGTAAGAGCTTGGTTAGCTAGTTCAGGTGTGTTTGATTAGGGCTGAAGCTAAACTCTCCAGGACACCGGCCCGCCATATCCATGTGGACACCCCTGGACTATAAGAAACTGTGCAAGTAAATGTCAACTTACTTGTAGATGCATTGTAACTTACATTCAACAAACGAACCATCAAAAAAAAGTGTGACTGAATTGCTTGTCACTGACGCAGAGAGACTTTTTTTTTCATAGGCATAAGTTGCACAATACATACATTCTTGCCTTCCACCTCAATGATAAAAAAGTAGTGCTTATATTCAGTGGTGTAGCGGACAGGCCCGCAGGGCACGCACCGCAGGGGGGCCCCGCGTGATTAGGGGGCCCCACGACGTCGCGATTTTCAATGATTGAAAATCCAGGAACTGCAATAATCAAACTCTTGGGAACAACTGTGGTCGGAACCAAAGTTCACAGAACTGTGTTCTCTGAACTCCTGTCAAGGTGGACTACTTAATTCTGATTGCTTACCGCCGAACCGCGTCATAGCCAATGAAGACGCGCCGCTGTTTCTCGCCGTCGGTTCTTGTTAAAAAATGAATGGCTTCTGGCTACTTTGACGCTCTCGCCGCTTTCGGTTTGTGATCGCTCCTCAGTTTGTGAAGGATTCCCCGCGTTGTCGCTCCACGCCACCTCATTTCCCCGCTTCTCAATTTGTGACATAGATATATACACTAGATATCGCATAGGGACCCTGAGCATGCGTCTATAGCGCCACCACATTGGTACAGTGCTCCCAGGACAAATGTCATTCAACCACACTAATGCAGTCACTTACTGCATTCATCATAAGGCAAAGCAGCTCCAACTCGCACTAAATACTCAGCTTATGCTAGTTTTGTTGAATAAAATCAACAAACAATGCAAAAGAAATATGACAACGAGATGCTGCGCTGCCAGAAACTTGTATTATTGTCGGCGAGTGAAAGAGTCGTTCATAACGGAGATTCATTCACAAACAAATCGCTCCCTCTGTCAGTATGAGAAGTGAAAGCAGGAGAGGTGTGTGCACGGATTAGATCAAGTTTAACAGGGAGGGTGAATAGTACATTTCTGTACACACAAACACAAGCTTTTTGTCAGGAATGCCTGTGCGGTCACTGATCCATCAATGTAGAAAAGTGATGTAAAACTAAAATTTTCATAATAAAAAAAAAAATTACATACTAACATCCAGGATAACTCCCGTTCATAGGTATATGTGTATATCTCTGGCTATGACAACCACACCCCACACTGTCTCTGATTGGCAAACAATGGAAATGTAATCTAAGCCAATCATCACGTTCTTAGTTAAACCACGTTCACAGACACACCAATCATCATCACTGGTTGGTTATGTGTCCCTCTTCAGCCCCAACACACACCTCAGAGAAAGAGCGGTCCTATGGCTGAGAGAGACTCTGCTCACATAAATACCACTTCAGTGTTCTCAATTATAGTAATGTGCATTTTATTGTCAGTAACGGTGTTGTAACGGGGTAAACAGTAATTTATTTGATCACTCGTAACTGAATCAAGAATCACCGTTAGTATCGATGTTCATTTAAAGCACCATTATGCGCAACACTTGTTTGTTCACCCTCATATTGTTCCAAACCATTAAAGGCATAGTTCATCTAAAAATTATGAAAATAATGTCTTCATTTACTCACCCTTCACTTCTTTCAAATCAAACAAAAGAAATAAAAAAAAAATGTTGGAAACCAGCAACCATTGATGTCTATAGTATTTGTTTTTCTCTATTATGGAAGTCAGTGGTTACAGGTTTTCAGCTTTCTTCAAAAACTTTTCAACTGAAGAAAGAAGCACATAAAGGTTTAAAAACACATGGGGGTGAGTAAAATATTGCATTTAGCATTAAATGATCCCGTTAAATTTTTTTTTTTTTTTTTTAATTGAATCATGTAATTTTTTAATGAAACCTGAGAATTTTCTCTTTCTACTTTGAAAGATCAGGGAACCAAAATGTGTTGTAAAACAAACATATCTCACTCAAGACAATTAATCTGTACTGTAATTTAAAGGTATAGTTCACCCAAAAATCAAAATATAGATAAAACATTAAAGAAGCTTTTTAGCTAAAACCATGATCATTATTTATTTATAAAATTAAAAGTTTACCAGCACTTTTTAGGTGTTTTAGCATTTTTTTTATTCTTTTTTATTTTTGCTGATGGGCTTTATGGGAAGTCAGCTTGATTTAATTTTATACAGTTACTTTTATAGCACCAATAATATAATTTAATCTAAATATGTAATGTAATGTAATATAATTTATTATGTATTTTATATAGCACATTTATTGTGTATGGCCATACACCCAAAGCATTTTACAATCATGAGGAGCTCTCTCCACACTACCATCAGTGTGCAGCACCCACTTGGATGATGTGACGTCAGCCACAGGACAATGGCGCCAGTGCGCTCACCACACACCAGCTATTGGTGGAGTGGAGAGACAGTGATAGAGTCAATTCGGTGGTTGGGGATGATTTGGAGGCCATGATGGTTACGGGCCGAGAGGGACTTTGGCCAGGACACCGGGGTTGCAGCCCTGCTCTCTACGAGAAGTGGTATGGGATTTGTAATGACCATGGAGTCAGGACCTTTAACATCTCATCCAAAAGACAGCACTCACTGACAGTATAGTGTCCCCTTTACTTTTACTGGGGTATTAGGACTCACACACACCATAGGTTGAGAGCCCCCTGCTGGCCTCACTAACACCACTTCGAACAAATACCCAGTTGTCCCATGTGGTCTCCCATCCAGCTACTTACCAGGCTCAGCCCTGCTCAGCTCCAGTGAGTAACCGGTCTTGGGCTGCATATAATATATAGTCGTTTAAAGGGTCACGAAACACCAAAACACATTTTTTGAGCTGTTGACATTCGTATATGTGTCCCACACTCCTAAAAACACTATTAGGACACCTATATTTCACTAAAAAGTGTAAATTGGTTGTTTTTGAGTTATTTCAAGCAAATTCGTACTTCTGGTTTGAAACTAATTTTTGAAGCTGCGTCACGGCCATGACATAATAGCGTTGTATTCCAGCGTGCAGACTGGGCGTCTTTGCCAGAGTGAGTCTTATTACGTCTTACAGTGTGTTGCATTAATGCATGAGTAAGGCTTGGTTCAAACCAATCAGCGCGCTCTATTGTGCAACTTAATTAATATTCATTACTGTCAGAGTGTAGACGGCAGAGACGCCACGTTGTGTTGGCAAAACAAGCGTGAAGTGTTGCTTTTATAGTTTGCTGCAGTTAAGTTTCGTTTTCATTTTCTCTCTGTGAGAGCGCAGACTCACGCGGGGATTAACAGTGTACGCGACGCGCGACAACAATAACTTACGTGTCTAAGGAGGAACATTGTTTACCTGAGAGCTGTTATCATCTGCAAACGCTGAGATCCAGATTCGCTTGTAGTCTCCTCTTAATAAAGACACGGCTCTAGTTGCTGGTGATTGTCCTGTCTCTACAGATTTTGTAAGTGAGTGACCAGTGCTCTTTGTTTATTCAGTTCGTATTTTATTCGTATCAAACAAACTATTGCACCGAATGCAATAGTTAGCACTAACAGTTACAACCAAACTATAACCTCGTGTTGGATTTTGTGACCGGAATAACACACGCGGCTTTCTGACACTACCTGTCGTGTGCATCTAAGTTTCCGGGAAATGCTGAGTTTTTTTTTTCTCTCATTCGCCGTGCGGTATCAAACATTGCATGAAAAATACACGCTTAGAGCAGATCCTCGAATCAAATATCACGTTTGTCGGGAGGGACATGAATGAATTCCCTGAATGAAAGAGCCAAACTGCAGTTAAAGTCCACCATTTAATAATTTGGCAAATAATTCGACTACAGATGTCCATGTAAACACAGTCACTTTGTCCGCTGTGGGTGTGTGTTTTGACTCTGAAATTCAGCGCGCCCAAATAAACACTCCCATACCAAGCCTCTTTTCTTCCTCCGACACTCGCCCCTAAACAGAGCTGGACATGCCCACTTTTCTGACTTTTTCCAAAGTAGAGGTGTGAAAACACTCTGCTGAAACGAGGGGGTTTCATGGCCCTTTAAATAGACATTTCAATTTCCAATAAGTATTCAATTAGTTGTTCAAGCATACAATTACATGAAAGGCTGTTTAAAAGTAAGCGTCATGAGTAGCAGCAGACAAGTGCTGAAAATCTATGAAAAATACTGTAGTAAAACAAAAGTTTTATAGACATGGTTCGGAACAATGGAATTTAATGCAATGCTTCTTGTCTGGTCTGAGACCCACTTTATATTGTGTTTATATCAGACACATATTAAAAGAATAATAATAATAATGATGATGATAATAATAATTTTAAATGTGGGGGGTTAGCACGGCAGTTCTCCAAGGCTTATTCATACTTAAAATCCCCATGCATAAGGTATATTACCTTGGCAAAATGCCCTTACTGCATTCACTGTCTGATGTGCGTCTGATGCCATTATGTTATTATAAAAGCACTGTCTGCTGAGGCTGTGGAGTGAAGATAATAATGTGGTAATGATGCTCACTTTCTTGTACAGATTGATAATTTCAATATAACATCAGGAGTCGCAGGTATTAATTTTGGCTTTGCAGTAAATGTTTTTTTTTAACTCTTCATTTGTCTATGAATCATCAAAGAAACATTGATCATGTTACATTTTTAATAGTTTTACTGCAGTCACCAACAGTTTTGATGGTTTACTGTGAGTTAATAAACAGCAAATGTTCATATTTAGGTGAACGTTGCCTTTAAACTTTTATTTACATATGTTTAAATACATGCGTTACACTCTATTGATCATTGTTTAGATTTAAACAAATCAGCAATCCTGTATCTTCAAATTCATTAAAAGTATCCTAATCTGTGATTTCAATCAAATAAGGCGAGTATAGGATGGTGAAAAAATACATTTTTTGGTTAAACCTCACTTTGATTCAGTCACAGTTAAGTTCCTATTATAGCATTGAGAGTGCATGCAGGATTACCAAAAGATTAGAAACAATCTCATTTCAGTCAATACGTTATATGAGCCAAATACTCGTTATCTCTTTGACCCTTAAATTCCCTACAGAAAATCTGAGAGATTATTTGCACCCAGGTTGAAACAGCATGGACACTGCACAGCTATTTGCACCTGGTGGAAATCATCCAGCCAACAACAAAACACAAATCTCACATGTCAGATGTGGCCTTGAGGAGACTGAATGTGTTCTGACATTTGTGCAAGGTGCTACGTTGCACAGGCAAACATATATGACATATTTAATTCCACTCCACTTCCCGCTAGGAGTACTATAATACTGATGTCTTCACTGTGATTATAAATGAAAGCCCTGAGTAACTGAAATAAATGCTGTGTACTATTATTATTCAATTATTATTATTACTAATATTGAAAAATTACTTTTAGACTTCATATATACATGTATAATCTACACTTCACTAAAAACATAGTATAGGACACATATTGTAATGTTTTTGTAAACATTGTAAAAATGTTAAACGACAACCGCTTTTTTTAAACTTTCAATTTAGTTTGTTTTTAGTCCCCCAAAACAAAAATGAACAAGTAAAACGCAGACAGGGTCCCATTTTTGACTAAAAATGTCTTGCAAATGGTCCCTTAAAGGAACACTCCACATTTTTAAAAAATAGGCTAATTTTACAACCTCCAGTTGAGTTGTGCCATTTTGAATCCATTCAGCCGATCTACAGTGGCGCCCCCAGAAAATTTTCTTAGGGGTGGCCAGAAGAGGCCGCACCAAATCTTGGGGTGGCACACAAAAAAAATAATGAATTCAGTGTAATGTTATATTTTTGTTTCTGGTAAATGAAATAATGTAGTTTTTATTCATTTAATTAATTCTACTTGAAATATTGCAATTTATTCTTTGAAATAATCCAGCAAGTACATGTGCAAACCAAATAAAAATCTATGTTTAGTTTAAAAACACTTTTCATATACTGTATAATTAACTTCTTTTTTTACGTGCTTTTATTGTACATCATGATATGCCATGTCTAAAATTAATGAAGATTAATGAGTTTATTATTCCCAGAGATGGGTTGCAGCTGGAAGGGCATCCGCTGTGTAAAAATGTGCTAGATAAGTTGGCGGTTCATTCTGCTGTGGTGACCCTGGATTAATAAAGGGACTAAGCCGAAAAGAAAATGAATGAAAGAATAATGAGTTTATTAATTACCCAAACAAATGAACAAACTGAACAAAAGGCATTACTATACACACTCACTATAACTAATAATATCATTTATCCATATTGCTTTTTGAACCATTTTATTAATGCAGCTTCTTCTATTGATATACTGTAGCTTAAGGTAAATATTAAATAGCCATTGCTGTCTTTTGAAGGTGTGTACGTGCTGTCAAGGACGATCGGGGAGGGTAGTGGTGGTTCTAGTTTAAATGACACCCTGGGCGAACCACCCTATACACCCCCACCTCTCTTAAATTGTTAGATTTGTTATTCAATAAATATAACAATTTATTTATATTTATTCTAAATAAATACAATTAATATTAATATACAATTATTATTCTGAATAAATAACAGAAATCAGTCCTAAATATTACTGGAAAACAACAACTGGAGTGATATGCCAACATCACTTAAGAAACCTTTTGCATGAAAATTAATTATGACAATTCTAAAGAATACAAAAAATGTATTATAGAATTTTCTGTGATCTTAGACCAGATCATGGCTGAGAAATCATGTTATGAAGTCTTACCTCCCTGACTCATTATCCCTCCTTTCTGCTTTAAAGGCATGCTTAGTGAAAGTAACATCATCATCATCATCATATTATATAAACTTTAAACGACTTTCAAACTTGCTGCGTGCCGACACACACAAAAGGCTGTTACTCCGGTTTCACGGCGCATGAGCGGTGCCTATTATGTCGGCGTGCATGCAAACAACCAACCGGGATTCACACAGGAGTGCGTGAGGCGCGCGGGAATGGTTTTCCGCGCGCATGCGTCAGTTTGCTTTCACCAGCATTGAACCAGAGGGGGAGAGCTACGTCAGTAACACCAACAATAATTTAGTGACTGCATTTTATTTATTTATTTATCTAAATATTGGGAATTTATGAGTTCATTTAAATCAATAATGTCAACTGCAAAATTATATTGGGGTGGCCACAGGGGTGGCCAGAGTTTACCGAGGGGTGGCCGTGGCCACCCCTGGCCACCCCTTGGAGGCGCCCCTGCCGATCTACGGGTCTGACAGGAGCACTTTTAGCTTAGCTTAGCTTAGTATAGATCTATGAATCAGATTAGGCCATTAGCATCTCGCTCAAAAATGACATTTAAATAGTTTTTTTTCTTTTTGAAGATTAAAACCTTTATCTGAAATTGTCTTTACAAAAATTTGGCTAACCCACAGCTTACTGTTGAGTCAGGAATTAAAAACTGAAAATTCAGGAATTCTGTTATTGTTTAAAAAAAAGGGATTAATTAATCCAAAGGTGAAAATGATGTCATCAAACTACTCGTCATGTCGTTTCAATCCTAACACAAATGAAAATATTTTCAATCAGCGGTGTCAAACTCATTTTCATGAGGGTCACTTCAGCATTATGGCTGCACCCTCAAAGAGCTGGTTATAACTGTAGGCCTGTATAATCTACTACTTCTTAACACAATTTTGTTAAATAACTATCTCTACACAGTCCAAAACATTTTTTTTTTCTGATTGTTTAAACTAATTTAAAATCAATTGAAACAACACTATTCTTAAGGTTTTTTTTTGTTTTGGAACAGCCTAATCGTTTTATGTTCAAACCTTTACTTTCAATTTGGTTTGTATTTAGTCCCCCAAACCTGAAATGAACAGTTAAAATACATAAAAGGTTTTCATTTTTGACTAAAAATGTCTTGTACATGGTCCATTACATAAAGGAACACTCTGTAATTCTACAACTTCCAGGTGAATTTTATCATTTTTGAAACCATTCAGCCGATCTACGGGTCTGGCAGGAGCACTTTTAGCTTTAGCTTAGCATAGATCATTGAATTAGATTAGACCATTAGACTCTCACTCAAAAATAACGAAAGAGTTTCTATATTTTTCTTATTTAAACCTTAAAGGCGCACTCCCTGAAAATAGATTTTTGGCCCTCTTCTTGTATTGAATAATATACAGACAAAACTCTGATAAATAGTAATAAGCAATTAAAATAACGATAAAAATCAACCTGGTGGTTATGATGCCTGTTAAAGGGTTAAAGCTTGACTCTTCAGTGGTAACATGTACAAAGTCTGATTGAAAATGAAAAGTTGCTATTTTCTAGAACAATATGGTTAGGAACTGTTCTCATTCTGGCGTAATAATTAAGAAACTGTGTTGCTGTAACATGGCTGCAGCAGACGCAATGATATTTCACAGCACCTGAAAATAGTTCTTAACTAGGTAACTTCCAACGTGACTAATACATGCTCCCTTTGCAAGCAGGTGGTCATGTTAATTATGTTGACAGAAGTGGTAATTTATTTAATTGTTTTTTTAGATGCTAACGGTCTAATCTGATTCAGTAATTTATGCTAAGCTAAGCTAAAACTGCTCTTGCCAGACCCGGAGATGGATTGGCTGAATAGATTCAAATATGGTAAAACCCGAACAGTACTATAAACTGAAAAAATGCGTCTATTAACTCCCCTTCTGAATATAAATGAACAGTACGGCACTAAACAGTAACTGTTTGCAGAAGGCGAATGACAAACCTGCAGACAAACAAATTAGTGTCATTCATTAGTTTCAGTGCAAACAAAGGTCGCAATGCCTGATTCTCACACCCAAACCATGACCCAAGTGTTACTTTCTCATGTCTCATTCCTCAGATCTCAGCCAGTGAACTCGAAAGATTAATGGTGCGACTGCCCAACATGTTCAAGCAGGAGTTCAGCGGCGTAGGAGCGACACTGGAGAAACGCTGGAAGTTCTGCGGGTTCGAGGCTCTCAAGTCAGCGTGACTCTCAAAGCCACATATGCACTAACACCCGACGAAGACTGATCCAGAGTCAGCCAGAAGAGCAAGAGTCTCATAGACAACAAATACAAGCATCAGATGGCTGCCGCTCTCGAGAGGAAGCGAGACTCTACACGCGGCACAGCATCAGATGTATTTACTTGAAAAAGCTCTTTCCAGAGCTCTGTGCCGATTGCATAACTTATCTGTCAGCGGCGGCGTCCCTGAAGACTGGGAGATATCCAGGAATTTCACGCCTCTCGGTTAAAAATACGGAATGTTGAATATGGGACACAGATGTGTGATAGCAGCCCTCTGCGTCCATCAAAGCCGGAGTGTGTCTGTGTGTGTGTGTGTGTGTGTGTGTGTGTAGATGATGATTTCTGCTCTGAAAAAAATGATTTGAAACATGGCCGAAGTGCTGAAGCTTATAGACAACAGTTGCACAGCTGAAGATTTGCTGTGTATCAGGCCGTTCATGCTGTGTAGATGATGTATTTAACATGCTCTTCGTGTCTTGATGCACTGTTGTTAATGTCTGCTTATGTAAATTAAGTTTTCTAAAAAAAAAAAAGAATCGATTAAAAACTTTTTATCTGAAATTGTCTGGTGAAAATATTTTGCCAAGTCAAGAACTGAAAATTGAAGAGGATTTAGGAATTATGTTATTGTTTTTAAATACTTTAAATAAAAGGGTTAATTAATCCAAAAATGGTGCCATAAAATTACTCAACCTCTATGTCCAGTACTCTGAGAGCCTTATTCATCTTCAGAACACAAATTATAATATTTTGGATCGGGGGGTCAAACTCATTTTCATGAGGGCCACTTTAGCATTATGGCTGCACTCTTACTCTGTAGGACTGTATAAATATTACTAAAATTTTAATTAACTGTTTCTACACTCAAAAAATTATTTTGCTGATTGTTCAAACTACTTGAGTTGAAACAAGTATGTTATGCAAACCAATTCAATTTGTTAACTTAACAGTCCTTCTGCACCCAACCCGGTCGGAGCTAGCATCTGTCGCCTTTTGAGATCAGAGCAGTGAGGTTTACCTTCATAACAATTCGCTAGTTGGCCTGTGTTACACTCATCCCCCTAAACCTCACTATTATTTTGGACGAGCCCCCACATATGAACCACTGATGCCAGATGGCATCAAATTGACGCGTCGGTTGCTCTAACAAGGAACCGAAAGACCATGACCTCTGTCGTAAAGAGCACATTTTGAGGTCAGACAAGTATCGCAGTCAATATTCGATATAAAGCAGCATGGACTTTTATTATAAAGCTTTGTTCACCGAACGTGAAAAACTGCATTACATTCTGTAGTTAACTCATGTTTTTTAATAAATTGAACTATCGCTATAGAAGCAATTGAAGCAAATTCTGCGCTTCGCAACAAACCTCTTAAAAATCAAACCATACAAATGCTTAAATATGCATTTGGTGTGGATCATACTATGCTCTCATGGTCCACATATAATTATAGACACAAATATATAATATATAATATAATATAAGGCAGTCCTGTGGCGCAGTGGGTAGCGCTGTTGCCTCACAGCAAGAAGGTCGCTGGTTCAAGCCTCGGCTGGGTCAGTTAGCATTTCTGTGAGATGTTCTCTCAGCTGTTTCCTCCAGATGCTCCGGTTTCCCCAAAAGTACAAAGACAAGCACTATAAATTAATTGGTTAAGCTTAAATTGTCTGTATTGTGTGTGTGTGGGTGTGTGTGATTGAGTGTGTATGGATGTTTCCCAGTTATGGTTTGCAGCTGGAATTGCATGTGCTGTGTAAAAGATGTGCTAGATAAGTTGGTGGTTCATTCCACTGTGGCGACCCCAGATTAACAAAGGGACTAAGCTGAAAAGAAAATAAATGAATGAATATATAGTATATAGACCATTTTGAGGGATGTAAACAAAAACTTTGGTTCCAACGTACTTCCTGTTTTTTTTCCAAAAAGAGCCTATTATTGATAAATAATGTTATGACAGTTGTTTTAGCATTAACTTATGATTAAATTGCCTCTTGTTAAAGTTATGAAATAATTCGATAACAAGCAGGAAATGTTCATGGGCCAATGGCAAGACCACATTGAAATGCTCTATACATAAAATGGAATTGACACGAGTTTAAGATAAAATCTGAGAGCTCCCTTATCCTCCACATCCTCCTGGGGCCTCATGTACTAAGACTTGCGTGGAAATCATACTAAAACATTGCGTACGCACAAAGCTGTAAATGTGCGTACGCAGAAAAAAATTCAGATGTATGAAACACTGCGAACGCCGAATCTCACGCATATTCTTTTGTACATCCGAATAAACGTGAAACTGAGCGCAACATGCAAGAGCACAAAACCCCTCCCTGCCTCCTCCCCCGTATGAATATGCAAATGACTCTACTTTGGCAAAACCCAACGAAAAAGCAAAGGCAAAAGCAAGCAAGAGAAACTTTGAACAGAATGTGAATTGGAGGTGCTCCTTTTGGAAGTAGACCGGAGAAAAACGGTGTTATTTGCAAATTTGTCCTCCGGAATTAACAACAAAAGAAAAAAATAGAGTGGGAGAGTTTAGCTGATGCGGTTAACACAGTTGGGTCTGAACATCGCACTGAGTGAATTAAAAAAGAAATAGTGTAATTTATAGGTGTAAAATGTTGAAGTACCCTTAGCAGTCTCAGTGGCACAGCTCGAAAAACGCATGTCATCATGTTTTGACACGTTCGAGCATCAACTCGGTTCGAATACAGCGTCTGATAAGGTCATTCTTCCCCCCCCCCCCTTTAATGTTTGGCTGGTCAATTGTATGGTATGGAAACCTTATATACCTGCTAAATAAACCGGTCTCATACAGCTGCCATTGCCACGCTCAACGACACTTTGTAGAGTGCAATTTAACACAACTGCCTCTAGGAGTCACCAATGGAAATAGAACAGACATGCACAAAAAATGTGCGTACGCCAGCCATAAAGCTGGCGTGGAGCTGCGCACATTCCCACGTTCAGTTCATCGTTAGTAAATCCAAATGTGAGTGATTCTGAGCGTGAAACCTGGCGTACGCAAAGTTTTTGTGCGTACGCAGCGTTGATACATGAGGCCCCTGGTGTTTTTGTCCTACCTTGTCAGATTGTCCTACCTCCCATTCAAAAATTAGGTAGCACATTTAGATTACACAATATGCTACCCATCAGATTTTGCTACTAGTGTAAATTTTAATGTGGAATAGTGTGAATATGAAGTTGTAATATCGCCATAACCTACCCAATACCTTTCCCCAACCTCAGAATCATTCAAATACAGTGTTGGTAGCATAATCTGATTGGTAGGATAAAATGTCAGGACATCGGAAGATATTGGCAAACAAAGTTATTTTAACCCAGATTTTTTGTGGTGCACAAAAGTGTTTTTGGAGCTTTGTACAATCACAGTTAATCCTCTGAAGTCACATGAGGACTTTTGGTTTGACTTCTAGACCATTGCTGTCTATGGAGGATGAGGGAGCTCTCCAGCTAAAACATCGTAATTTGTGCTCTGAAAATGAACAAAGCGCTCAGGGCATTAGAATGATATGAGGTTGAGTAATTAACAACAGAATGTCTAATTTAGCATGAACTAACCTTTTCAATTCCATAAATGTCATTTGAATTTATCATCCTCTGAGGTGTTGCAAACGTTCCTACAAATCCTGGATTTAGCTCAAATGCGTTCCCGGCAGGGTTTCTGCAAGTGTGAAAGCTGCCTGCTAGTGTTGTGTCTGACATGCTTTTTTTGATTTATGTCTGGGATAAACAACTGAACCGTCTGCCATGAATGTGGAGCAGACCTTCCCTAATCACCCCCGAATATAACAAGCTGTGAATAATGAATGAGAGGGGAGGAGAAAGCTGCTTTCTGTGTGTTTGATGTCATCTATTTGCCTTTTACATCAGCCACCGACATGCTGTCAGCTACACATTAGTGCGTTTGAGACCATCTGAGTCATTTGCACTGTTGTTTGTACTGCCACCACCGTTATTTGAGGCTGTTAGGCTAATGAATAATTATAATAGTAATGCAGAAAGTTTGGGGTTACGGTGATGGTAGAACAGGAAGATCTATCTGCGTCTTTAGAGAAACCATTTTGTTTAACGTTACAAAAATGTTCTTTGTGCTCTTAAAGGGATAGTCAACCCAAAAATCTAAATAGACATACTATTTACTCACCCTCAAGTGGTTTCAAGCACACCTGTCAACATTTTTTTCCCTGGATTCTCCTGTATTTTACAGTTCTATCCCACTATCATCCCATAAAGGTATTTTCTCATTTTTCTCCTGTATTTTCAATCTTTCTATGAAGGGTAGCAATAGAGAGCCGATCATCCCTTTAAGCAACCCATACCGCTTAACCACCAAGGTATGCCCCTTGCTCTTTAATGTTAGTCTGTTCTCTGCTTTTGTTTTATTTAGGCATGAAAACACTTTGAAATAAATATAAAAATGAAGGGATTCCCTTCCTTTCCAATATAGGCGGCGTTGCCCCTCCTATACAATCCTCAAAACAGTCATATAGCGGTGCATGATTTTCAGACGCGCTGCATAGTGATAAATAGACTTCCAAAAGAATTCTGTACTTGCGATTTGAAGCAGAGAGAAAGTCTGGGTTTTGGGTGCGTGTTTGAACGTTTTAAACAGACATTTACACATAATCAGTAATATTAATATCTAACAATGTCGTTTTTGCTGTGTTTTCTTTCAAACATTTTGTTTTAAATGACTATAAAAAGTTAGGAAAGCAATCGCATGCTTCCGTTATAATGTGACGTGTGCATTTTTTAAAGTGACACCTCTGTTATGTAGTAATGTAGTCAAATGAAAATCTAAATGAGAGATTCATTTGTTGCTGTTTAATCAGAATGTTTAAGTTATATACGAATTACCGGTTTGTAAACATTCAGGATGCATGCGCAGCGAGGTTGCAGAAAAATGGGAATGACATCCGAGGCGGTACAGAGTTTGTTGTATTAGAGATGAGTTATATTGATTACATATTATATATATATATATATATATATATATATATATATATATATATATATATATATATATATATATATATATATTGTTGCATATATATATATATATTATTTACATAATTCTTTCAGCGTATTATAACAGCTTGTCACCCAGTGATAAGCAGTTATTTAGCCAAATTAACATTAAAGTGAGCGGTGTTCGTCTGACAGGTCCATTTGCGATAGCACCCTCCCAATGGATAATGGATAAGATGTAATCGCCAAGCATCCAGCCCCAAATGTACAACTCATACAATCTCATTAAAACTCCAAGTGATTTTACAAAAGAGAAGTTAAAGGCCTACAAGTCTTTGGATGCCTACAATTTTGCTTTGCGTGGTCATGTGCAAGAAATAAGGTTCCATGATTACCAGATTCAAAATGATGTAGGGCTAAAAACTGAGGTTCTGCCTAGCCAAAGAAAAGGAAAAAAGACAGAACTGTACAAGGCCTGGGTAATCAACAAGCAAAACAACTGCATTCTGACAGCGAACTGCTTTTGTACGGCAGGGTATGAGAACTTACACTTTTACGTTTCATTCT